GTGGAGACTCTTCTGTCAGTCCAATCGGCAAGCTTTTCTCGCGAGGTCGTGTGTTTTTTCGATGTTCGACAAGGATAATGCAAACCTCTCTGATGTGTGTGTTTTAACCAACAACTTTATAAATTAGATAAAAGTCAACTCTCAAGAAATGAAGTTTGCTTGGCTGAAGAAAACTCAGAGGAACTTCTATGCCAGACTCTCTATTATTGTTACCTCTACTTCAAAAGGTTCCTCCTACTCTTTTGCTTCCTGCTCCAAAAGTGATTCCTCATATTTCTCCTGTTCAGACTACTTTGGTTGCTTTTGAGACTATTCTTGAAGCTGGAAGTGACTCTGGCGTCAAGAAGACTTTGACTTATGAGGAATACATTTTGAAGGCCTTGGAGCATATGGTGGCTGAGAATTCTGAAGTGAAGGAAATGACATCAAAGATAGAAAAGCTACTTGGAGAGATCTTATCAAGACTACCTAAACCCTCATAAACCTTAGTTTTAAAACTTAATGTTATCTTTGTTTTCCTTCTTTTCATTTTGTATATGTATGGTCTTTTTAATGAATGAAGTTATGGTTGTTTACTTTGTATTTATTTTCTTTGTGAATGATCACAAAGGGGGAGAAAAAATGATTGAATTTTATGTATTTAATTACATTCTAAAACTCAAACATGTTTTCAACTATTTTTCTGACTTGGTAATACTTTTGAGAACTTTGAGAAAGTTCATCATTTTAACCAAGTGTTTCAGGTTTTAACCTAAGTTCATAAGAATTAGACTTATGTTTAGGAACCAGGTGTTTATTGAACAAATATCATCCAGACTGAAACAAGTTATGATTAATACCAGACTTAATAATTCAACTAGACTATGAAGCCAAACTTCTTAAAGCTCTTACAATTCATGCTCTTGACGAGGCTAATAACTAAACTCTCTGACACTTAAGCAATGGACTCTAAATGAAATACTTTTGTACCCAAGCTGTTGCATTCTGGGAATTTACTTCCCCCATTTCAACCAGGCTTCTACCTTATGGGAAAATAGTAACCAGGCTTCTGTCTGATGGAAAATTTGTAACAACTAGGCTTCTGCCTTATGGAAAGTTATTTCTTTCATGCTGTTTGAAATTTTTATATGTGTTAAGATTATTTTAAGTCTTAAAATCAGGGGGGAGCTTGCAAACCTAACTCTGACATTCCAAGCTGGAAAAAAAATTTAACAATATAAAATTCAGGGGAAGCTTACAAACCTCACAGTAATATTTTTGCGTGATTAAAGCAAGTAAAAATTGTTCTTCAAAGTACATGGTTTTGTTATCATTAAAAAGGGGGATATTGTTACAATAATATTTGGTTCTACATCTGGCCTTTAGTTTTGATGATAACAATGCATTATTTCTTAGAGAACAATTTTGTACACTAATAGTTTTTGTCTAGCATGTAGCTTTTGCTAAACAGGTTCTGACTCTGAAGTTTTGATGTGTGACATCATCAGACTCTGGAATCAACACACTCTAAATCTGAAGATATACAAGTGCTTTATAAGATGATTTCAAATTCTAGAAAACTCTTAGACAACGGTTCTAAAGAACGTTTGTGCTAAAGCTTCTGACTATGACTCTGTTTGAAGATCCTCTGAAGGATTGTCTGCCTTTAAGATTCTGGGCTCAAGTTCTGAAGATTCTAAAGAACAAGATCTGAAGACCATGTTCTGAGGAACTGTGTCAAGACTCTGAAGACCGAGGTTCTGAATATTCTCTCAACTGTATATTGACCCTTCTAAGTATGATTCAATATCACTTTATCTGAAGACTCTGAAGATTATAAGATAAGATCAAAAGGTTTTGCGTCAAGAAAATAGTACACAGTACAAGATCACCCCTTACTCAACTGCCTTGATTTTGTGGGTTAAGGAAAGTACTATTGTACCATTTTCCTCCTATATGCAAATTGTTGTGAAAGAAGACAATAGTTATCTGTTATTCCAATTCTACCTTCCAACGAAACTTTTATCTTCCTATATAAAAAAGACTTGGACGATTGGAAGAAGTTGTTAATGCTCGTTCACGCTCACTCTATTGAATATACACACGTTTTGTTATAGTAAATATTTTATGTGTATATTTTTTTGAAAACACGTATATAGTTTTCACTCGTTATTGTATGAGATATTCATTGTATTAATTTTGTGTTACTTTGCTTTCTTAGAAACATTCCTTGTAAATCTCAATTTTGTTTGAGTGGTTTCCTTGAGTGACTAGGTTTTAATCAGATAGACTCCAGAAGAAAAGATGATTATTTTGTGGTGTCTGTAACCAGTTTCGGTTATAGCAGATTAAGTCCTTATTGAGAAGGAAAAATCACCTTTGTAGGGTGGATGGAGGTAGCTTCGTTAACAGCGAACCAACATAAAAATAACTTTGTTATTTTTCTTCTTCATGTTTTTGCTTGATTGAGTTGGTTTTGAAAATGCTTTTGTTTTTAGAAATCTTTTCTTGTCTTTCTCCCCACCTTCAGGCAATATGTTCCTAATCAGTCACTCGATCTTTAAATCTCAATGGTCCTCCGTAAAGGAGTTGTAAGTAGTCATAGAGAAGGTTAAAGCATGATTGGTTTTTGTTCTTCTTGAGAGCTCGAACACCTTTCCAATTGGTCGAAGGACAACTATGGCAGCGATGTCAAAAAGGGTGGGAGTTATCATCTCACAAGGTAAGTGAAACACGTTGATCGACATGTCCTAGAAGCACATGGCAGAGATGAGCATGTCTGAGTTGTAGGAGGGACCCACTCTTGACAGCTGGATTTGGTCAAAAATGCCTAAATCCTCCAAAAAAAATCTTCTTCTCTTCAACCATGTCCAGCCATTTGATATATGTAGTGTTCTCAGTTGGAGGAGAGGAGCGGAAAACTCTATTCTTAAGGAAACTAAAGTTGAATGATTTGTCAACAAACACCAAAGGTCTGTAATCATGGTAACTTGGAAAGAAATCCTTCACCATATGAGGCTTTTTTACACACTTGGGTAGTGGACCCATGAATGCATGCACTGAACCAGTGAGAGTGTAGGGAATGAAAGAAGAATGATACCATAATTTCCTTCTTTCATGCTCCATGGGAGATTTAGGAACATAGGTATGATCGTTGACATACAAGGGTGCGTCAATCTCAAAAGTGAAAGTTGGGTGAGATTGAGTTGGAAGTGTCATTGTAGTAAACGAAGTTTCGTTGAAGAACTTAGAGAAGAAGAAGGAAAATTGAGAGCGCTAAAGGTTTCTTTCTTTGCTTGAGTTTCAGAAGAGTTGGAAGTGAGAAGAAAATGCTGGAGACGGTATGTTAAATACTCAAACGAAAAGCGACTAAGTTTTCCCCCCAAGTGTCCTCAAGCATGTGGCGTGTCTGAGTCGACAAATGGAACCATTAAGGTCACGGGGAAAGATAAAAATAGAATTGAAAGCATTTTCATTGATTTCATTTTTATTTAGAGCTCCTAGGAAATAGAAGGTGATCATGATAGATTGCACACACATCTATGACGTGACGTTTTGGTGTAAAGTGTTCATAATGACCAAAATAACAATCAGTTACTTTGACGTTTCGTTGAAGTGATTGGGAAAACAGTGTCGAAAGGCTTCAAAAATGTCATATTTCTTCCATATGATCATATGATCGAAAGTGGCCATTTTTTTGGAGGGGGGGGGGGGCATCTGTTAACCTGAGATTTTCTATTTAGTATGAAAATTCAAGTGAATACTGCATTATTGAAATGCTAAGTGTTGGCATTTGATGGACACGGGTCGGCAGTAGTGATACGTCGACAATGCCTTCCTGACTAACATTTTGAGATAGTGTGGAAGAAATCTTAAAGGCATATCTCAAGCTTTGGTTTGAAAAGTATTAGGGAAAGACTTGAGTAACAACTCGACATTATGTCGGGGACAGGTATTCCAATAGACTCCAAAAGACTTAGAAAATTGAGGAACCAAAGACATAAGAGACTTAACACTATCACCAATTAGAGAACGTGAGATAATGGTCTCAGACGTTTTCAAAGCCATGTCGATACGTTGGAAGAGGATTTGCATGCATTATAAGATTTGCCAATTCTTTAGGTATTAACTGTCGAAAACAATTATTTGTAGTTTAGTATATATAGAATTTGAGTACCCAAGCCAACGAGTAGTATATATAGAATTTGAGTACCCAAGCCAACGAGTGAAACAGTTTGTGAGACCATTACATGCTATTACACTGTCTGCAATTAGACATTCGTAATTACATTCTATACATGCTATTACACTGTCTGCAATTAGACATTCGTAATTACATTTTAAACATACATCTTTTTAACTGTTAATTTCAAATACTTTCAAATTTGTGATTGTTCCCGAAAAATACATGCAAACAAAATTGTAACAATAAATGGTCTTCAACTTCTCCTTCTCAACGTGCATTGTTGTATTGGTTAAAGACTTGAGATTTTAAAGGAATTAGACCAAAAAAGTTGAGAATGAACACTATTTTACATTGTCTTATTTCAAAATATAAAATTAAAAGAAATAGAAAAAAAATGAAGAAATCCTAATTCATGAAAGTTAAGGTACAAAATTGCAGTTGAATCAGTAACTAACTGCATATCATCAAAAATTTAAAAGTGAACCCAAATTCCTTGTTTTAAACTAGTAGTTTGCACAATTGTTGCTATATACTTTTAAATGGTTTATTCTATGAAACACATATTTAGTTTACTAAATCTCATGATCCATTAACATATAAATACCAAAAAGATATTGGAAAATTCTTTAAACATAAGCATTGTTTCTCACTTCACAATAATCATCAAAATCAACACTTTATTGCAGTCTCATACACGAATCACAAGTTGCATAAATATCATCCTCTTAAATGCCAAGGTTTCCTCCAACCCTTTATTGGTCAAGTATCTCAGCTTCAAAAGCTAGGGACTTGTTAAAAAAAACAAAACAAAAAAAAAAGCTAGGGACTTGATAGTTCAAACTTTAGAAACAAAGTGTTCTGCTACAAGACGACGCAAAATCTTGCCAGTAGCCGTCTTGGGCAGAGAATCAGTAATGAAAACCTTTTTGGGGACTTTGAAAGATGCCAGATTCTTCTTGCAAAATGTTAGCACCTCTTCAGCATCAATGTTTGATCCTTCTCTTGGTATGATTGCACAATGTATCTGTTCAAAGGTAAACAGATTTTAACAACACAACTTGAATCGAATATAATCGAGCTTCTGTAAACATATAAGACAGGTGGGGTATATGTGTGACATTGATGAATGTGAAAACTTTCGGTACCACGGGAATTTTTCAGATCAATTTGGCTTTTAGGTATACCCTGAATGTAGACTCAGTTATGAATAGTAAATTATCACATGCATCATATTCATCAACCTATGCATCCAAAATGAATGTATGCAATCCAACCAAGTTGGCTTCTGTCTATTCTTGTGAATTATGAGTAACTTTGGATCAATATTATAAAATAATAGATTTATCAAATAACTGATGTATTTTATCGATTAAATAAATTAGTTATTTAATACTATATCTAAAATGTCAAAATTTAGATATAATAAAGAAGTGAATTTTGAAATGGTGAGTAGAGATTCACTGCACTCAATCATTGACATGCTATTTAAGTACACATACAACGAAAAAAAATTAAATAAAGCGTAATTTTTATTTGTAAGCATAAATAATTTTTATTATGAATGGTAATCATCCAAGATGTTGAAAGATGTACAACACATGTGAGAACAAAGGTAAAGACAAATTTCGAAACAATTGAGAAAAGGATTTTGATTTAGAATTGTAATCATCCAAGATATTGAAAGATGTACACACATGTGATAACAAAGAAAAAGACAAATTTCCAGACAATTGAGAAAAGGATTTTGATTTAGAATTGTATTCATCCAAGATATTGAAAGATGTATTGTGCACCACATGTGAGAACAACATTATACGAGAAAAAGACAAATTTACAAACAATTGAAAAACACATGTAAATTATTAAGAATTGATTTTGTCATTTAAAAAGAAATAGCAACTTGTTATCTGTTTTATTTATGTAAACTTTTCTAATTTAAATAGGATTTGAATTGAGAAAAAGACAAACCTCTTCACCATATTTCTGATCTGGTATTCCAAAAGCAACGGCCTGAGCTACGTCTGGATGAGATAGAAGAACAGCATCCACTTCTATTGGTGATATTTTCTCTCCTAAAAATTCATAAACAAAGATTCTGAAATTGTAGGATAAATTAATTGACCCTAATTCAGTTATGAGGGCAAATTTGAAATTAAAAAATGATACTGAATAAAAGAAATAGATTTCAATATTTTTTTGTCATCCTATGAATGGTGAATTTAATACAGCAATTTTTCTACCTACTTTCTCCATAACGTGTCTACCTAATAAAAAACTATATTAAACATCGTTATCACGCTTGGACAATAACGTCGGCAACCTCTTCAAATTACCAAAACACGTTTATTTCAAATCTTATTTATATGAAAAAATTTAATTTATTTAATTTTCAAATAAATTTAATTAATATGTACCGACACTTTAAAACTTTTTTAAACTATAAATTAATAATTTAATTTTTATTTTAATCACTTAAAAATTAATACAAATCCATTAAAATGTAAGACTTTTTACACTGTAGATAACAATTAATTTGTTTTTTAATTCATTATAACTAATCAATATCTTTAGACAATAGAATACCATAGACGGTAGGATACCAGATATTATTATTTATTTTTGTTTATTTAATTAATCTGAAAAATCAAATTTTTTTATATATAACAAAGTAGCATGTAAATGAATGATATTACAATAAAAAATGTCTAGTAAATATTTTTTAAAAGGATTTAATTGTTATGCAGTAAAAATATTTTAAAAAATAAAAGAGTTAATAATTTACCTCCTCTGTTGATAAGCTCTTTAATCCGACCCACAAGATGCAAATATCCATCAGAATCAAAGTAACCAATGTCACCCGTATGAAACCAACCAAACAAAAACGCTGCCGTATTAGCTGCTTCATTATTCTTGTAACCTTTCGTAACATTTTCTCCTCTAATACAAACTTCACCATTCACTCCAGCCTCCAAAACCCGGCCCGACTCATCAAGTATAGCCATTTCTTGACCCACGGGCTTCCCAACCGATCCAGCTTTGTGGGGCCCATTTTGTGGCAAAGGATTCGAACTCATTAAATGAGAAGCCTCAGTCATAGCATAAGCCTCCAAAACTGGTGCCCCAAACGATTCCTCTAAGCGACCTAGAATAACCGGTGCCAACGAAGCACTACAGCTTCTAATAAACCGGAGTTTCGGGTAAGCCGGTTCAGGGTTATTTAGGTGGCGATCTAGTATGATCTGGTGTATGGTAGGTACCGCTGTGTACCACGTCGCATTGTATTGAATCATGTCTTTCCAAAAGGTTGAGGCCGAGAATCTCCCCGCCGCCGGTAACACCACCGCAGCCCCGGAACCCAGTGAACTCAGCAATCCAGCGATTAACCCGTGAACGTGAAAAAGTGGAAGCACGATCACGGTTGAATCTGATTCAGTGAGTTGGTAAACCGATTGGATGTTTTTGACAGACGAAACCAGGTTGTGTTGAGTCAGTGGAACTCCCTTGGGACGACTCGTGGTACCTGATGTGTGAAGAAAAAGTGCCACGTCGGATGGTTCGTTAATGAGTTTGGCCACCGAGTTTACTGAGTCAGATTTTAAACCTGACTCGGGATGTTTCAGGGAGATTGTAAGCTTGGTTTCTTCTTCAGATTTCGTGAGAGAAGCCGAGCCGAGAGGAATACTGAGCTTTGAAGCCGCGTCTTGCGCCGGCTTGTTACCTTCTAAAGGCGTTAATAGAAGCTTGGATTCGGAGTCAGATAGATAAAACTCGAATTCTTCAGCTGTATAAGCTGCATTCAAAGGCGCCGCCGTGGCTCGGACTCGAATAACAGCTAAAAACAATATAACATACTGAAAGAAAGAATTTTAAAATAACAAGGAATTAATAAATATGAAGTAATGAATAATTAAATCGAATATAATAAATCTGTATGAAAAGGAACCTCGACGGTGTTGGGGAAAGTAAGAGCGACGACGTCGTTTGGTTTGATTCCGGCAGAGATGAGATGATCTGCGGCAGATTCGACTAATTCGTTAAGATGAGAGTGAGTGAGGTCGAATTTTCCGGCGAGGGAGATGCCACGTCGAGAGGGGAATGTTTTGGCGACGGATTGGAGTAAACCGGTGAGGGTGGTTGCGGTTTCCATGGGTGATTTTTGGATGATGAAAAGAGAAATTGTGATGAATGGTTGATGAGGTTAGGGAATCGTGTTATATTTATATATGGACACGGACGTGGATGGACAAGGATAGGGTGCTTGACTTTCTCTCTATCTGTTTCCAACCATTCCTTCTCATTCATCAAAATCATTTGTTTAAAGTAAATTATTGGGTACAATTAACTTAAATGTGTAAAAATACACAATTTCGATAATATATTTTGTTTTAATATTTGAAAGAATATAATTGATATCCATCACTTTTATATATTCCGCTATAATATATATATATATATATATATATATATATATATATATATATATATATATATATATATATATATATATATATATATATATATATATATATATATATATATATATATATATATATATATATATATATATATATATATATATATATATATATATATATATATATATATATATATATATATGATAATGATAATGTAAAATTATTTTATTTTATTAATACATATCAATTAAATTCTATTTATAACTAATTTGATTTAAGTCCCAAGCAGAGTCGCCAACTGTTTCAATTGTGAAAAATTTTCGGTAGAAAACAGAAGAATCGTCACCTTTCGTTTTTTATCCCAAACTCGCTGCTGCGCCGTTGACTGAATTTAAACAGAACTCCTCTCTAATCAGAACACTGAGATAATACACTGGATGGAACACTCAGGATCAAAATTCCGCACTAAAGAGAAGACCGGGGTTGGTTGAAGGTCAGGTTTCCTACAAAAACCCATCCCTCTCACATCTGGGTTTTAGTCTTGAAAGGTACGGCATCCTATGCGGGTGGTCAGCGTCACAGACTTTTGAAAAACGATGATATGTTCACCATTTCTGGTTTGACATCATAGTCTAACGAATCGGCCTCACTTAACTGACTTCCCAAATAAACGGTCTCCAGAGTTGACAGTCTCTCTAAGTAAATATTCCCTCAAATACACCAGACACGCAGGATAGAATATTTCCGAAGAAAAACCTCGTCTGAAAATAAATTTCACGCGAGCTATTGCGCAGACAAACGCCACACAAGCTCCCGCTAATCTTCACTCTAATCCTATGTGTATACTCAAGCCCAGGTCCGTCTTATCTCTCAATGGAACAACTCAACCCACAACACAGTAGCAACATAATATGATAATAAAATGCAAATGCAATAATATACAACAAATAATGTACATAAAGCAAAAATTGTCCAAAAGTAAACACCCAAAGATGCAACAGACAAGCGTTAGGAGTGACTCGTATAGGGAACCAAAGTCCTCAACAAAGTCGCCAGTTGTCGCAACTGCGAAAAACATCCGGCGGAAAACAGAAGAGTCGTCACCTTTCGTTATTTATCCCAAAGAGAGGGAAAGGAAACAATCAGAAAAACCTAACGAAAAAGGGAAAAGACGAGGTCATCACAACCAATTCTGGATCTAGGAGTCGGTTACTCAAGGGGAAGTTATTAACACCCCTCACGTTCGTCGTACTCGACGGGATCCATGTTTGTTGTTTATCTAAGGGTGTGTTTAAACTATCTACGCTACAGGCTTCAGGGCAAAAAGAAAAGAAAAAGAGACTCGGCAGAGTATCGCCGCTCTGTGCCTACGTATTTCCTCGTGCAATGGGAAAGTCAGAGTCAACGTAGTTCGACTAACTACGCGCGAAAGGGGGGAAGGTTGCTCGCCAAGATATCGCATATTTTGCCTACGTACCCTTATCTGGTATGAGAGATCAGAGCAAATATAGTTCGGCCTAACACGAAACCACAAGTTGATTAAGTGTTTTAACCGAGTAGGGTTAAACCCCCGTTACAGCAGTTAGGGAAAAAGCCTGTTTGCGGTAGAACCGAAGCTTAACAACACTCTTTTCTGAAAAAGTTTTCGATTAATCCCGAAGGAAAAAGATTTGAAATTTTGTTTGTGTTTTTTAGTGAAGTGAATTAATTCGGTTTGTGATTCACGTTGCACTAAAGACTATGACATAAGAGCGAATGCGTCGTGTATCGCCCCCAAACGGGACAGACACTAAACACTCTAGATAAGCGAGAGGAGACCCCTCACTCGTCATTCCCCATGTAGCTTAAGGCTCGTAGCGTGCAACGTTCATCGCATTTATTAGATGAGTTATAATTGTTTTGAGATGAGAAAGAGAGACGCACGGAAGGTCTAAAGGAAACTCGACCCTAACGTTGTCATGCAAAGTGGTCCTAAGGTTAGGATTTAAAGGGGAACATCTACCCTAATGTTAGCATGCTTGGATTGAACACCTAATGTCTCTCCTACTCCCATCCTAAACGGAGGGACTAGGAACCCTATAGGGATCATGGCAAAAAAAGAATAAGAAAACACCAAGTAAATTCAATCACAAGTGTAACACCCTTCTAACCTCACATGAAAATACATAAATAATCAGAGTAAATTAACATGCTTTCACAAAAGGGCGTCACACATGATTTCAAAACATCAAAACCACCTGTCATGCTTTAAACACTCAAATAAAATAATCATGCTTTTCAAGGTTCACTTTGCATGTAGCAGCGGATTCAATTTATATTCATAATTCTTTTCACATAGCATTCATGTTCATCTCATAATTCAACAATACTTGGGCACTAAGGCCAACATCACAATATTTCGATACATTTAAAACACAACTTAAAATACATAAAATATCTCTAAAGCAAAAACCCAAACGATCCCAGTGTTACATAACCAGAGCATGACTCGACCCAACATAATTAAAATACTAAACGACTGCACCAGCAGATACCTCGCAACTACTAGCAGTACAACTCCAAGATACCTGCACGATGTCATAAAGGACATCATTCCAGCAGAAGGGTGAGAAATATTACCATAATAATCAAAGCACATAATCATATATAAATGCGCAAGTAAAGAATACATACATTTCACATTTTCTCACCACAATGCATATTAACACAATAACCATGCACATAATATATATCCATAGCATCAAATACACATATTATACTCCTCACCACAATACCTCACATACCCACTAACATACATCGCAAAACATATATGTATAAAACCAAGCATTTCATCACGCATACATTCGCAATTACAATTAATCCTCACAAACATACACGTTATGTTTCATTCATCACGAATCATATAACATATGCCATCATGTTTAATCATCAATTCATTATTCAATATCTTTCTCAATTACTCAATCGCAACCCACAATTCAACAATTCATACTCACATGCATATTTCATATAACACTCATAACCATGCCATGTGACTCACTTAAAACTCACCCAATATCACCAATCCCCTTTTTAGGATTATGGGTACGTCACTTATACCCTACCAGGAATAACACCTCAGTTATTCTACCCCGGTAATTACTCCACTAGGAACGACACATTGCCATTCTACCCCAGTGAGTACAAATCTTTCACATAAACATTATTATCTATATTACTCTCATATTTACCAATCATTACCTATATACATGTACTATTATATTCTCAGGCATTATTCACAATTCATCACATACATTACACTGCATGTATATATATATATATATATATATATATATATATATATATATATATATATATATATATATATATATATATATATATATATATATATATATATATATATATATATATATATATATATATATATATATATATATATATATATATATATATATATATATATACACACAACTAAGCATACTCATCAATCATGCTTCTACAATTCACATCATTTTCACACAAACATTTATAATTATATTTATTCATACATCTCAATCATCCCATACATCGCAATGTATACATATAAGTATCTATATATAAATAGAACATCAAGCATATACAATATGCATTCACCAATGTTTACATCAATCCATGTAAATCCACATATATATACATATCTTCAAGCATACTCACTCATGCCATTATCGCAATTCGTGTTAGTTCACATAAACATACACAATATGTTTATATCATCACCATTTCACATAAACATTCACATACATGTTTATTTCACCAATGCATCATATAAAGATGAATTATGCAACTCATAGAGACCGACTCACGACTCTATGCAGATGCAAATGTGGTACCGACTCAATTCAGCAGGTTCAATTGAAGAACCAAATAGAACCATCGCTCGTTACCGAAGTAACTCCCCGTCGGGCCTACGATGTTCACTCATTGCTCACACCCCACATGGGCACACAATGTTTATGGATTGCTCACACCCCACATGGGCACACAATCCGATTGCTCACACCTCACAAGGGCACACAATCGTTTTGCAGATTCTACGCGGAATCAAATATAGATCATCGCTCACACCCCACATGGGCACACGATGTCTCTGCAGATCCTACACAGGATCAAAATAACCATCGCTCACACCCCACATGGGCACACAAGGTTCTGCAGATCCTACACGGGATCAAATAACACAAATTCATATCATGATGCTTCACATGCAAACATGACTCAATCAACTATAAACCATCGCTCACACCCCCACATGGGCACACGAGGTTTCTGCAGATCCTACGCGGGATCAATCAACACAAAATGCATACATGTTTACAAACATACTCATGCATCTATCACATTTCACTACATACATTTATTATGCATTCACAACATATATATCATAATGCAAATATATATATTCATCATTTATTTCACACCATTTCATACATGGTTCTCATACAAAATGACTCAATCAGTTATAGACCATCGCTCACACCCCACACGGGCACACGATATCTCTGCAGATCCTACACGGGATCAATCAACACAAACTGCATACATATTCACAAATATATTATCATGCATTCTTCACGCATCAACACGTACAATCATCATGCACTCACAATGTGTATTATATTCATCATTCATCACAATTGCCATGCATTTTTATTCAATTCTAAACAATGCATAATTTGCCCAAAGGCCACGATTC